TTCCTTGGCATTGCCCTTCTTTGGGATTGGAGTGTATACTGACCTTTTCCAATCCTGTGGCCACTGTTGCGTTTTCCAAATTTGCTGGCAAATGGAGTGCAGCACTTTAACAGCATCATCTTCTAAGACTTTTAATAGCTCAGCTGGAATACCATCACCTCCACTAGTTGTTTATAAAGTTTTTGCATTGGATTAGGCTATTTTGATTTTTATACAGTAGGTAGATGGAACAGAAGTAATAGAAGGTAACTGCCAGATGTTAAATGGAAAATATATATGTGGAAAACTAATTAGTTGGGTCATAAATGAATTTTTATATTAAAGGTTTTGCCTTGGATTAGGCTATGTTGATTTTCATACAGTAGGTAGATGGACATTTATTAATAGAAGGTAATTGCCAGATGTTAAATGGAAAATATATATGTGGAAAACTAATTAACTGAAGGTCAGACTATTTGAATGTTTATTTTGGAAATAGGGTTGATACACAGTATTAGGATGGGTAAACAAAAAGTAATTTGAACCTATGATATTCTGTTATGTCTTGTTAAAATATCTTAATTTGGAAGTTAATGTAACTGAATGTAATAAGTGAGGATATACAGTATAAGGATGGAAAGTTAAAACAAATTTGAAATTATTATATTATGCTATGTTTTGTTAAGATACCTTAGAAAGGTTAAGATGAAATTGTCCCTCTTTTTTGTTGTGTTTGAAATTTTTTTCCAGTTTGGTGTAGTGGTTAAGTGCGCGGACTCTAATCTGGGAGAACCGGGTTTGATTCCCCATTCCTCCACTTGCACCTGCTGATGTGACCTTGGGTCAGTCACAAGCTCTGGCACAGCTGTCCTTGAAAAAGAGCAGTTTGTGTCAGAGTTCTCTCAGCCCCACCCACCTCACAGGGTGTCTGTTGTGGGGAGGGGAAGGGAAAGGAGTTTGTAAGCCGCTCTGAGACGCCAAGTGAAGGGCGGGGTATAAATCCAATCTCTTCTTCTTCTTCTCTTCTTTTTGTTGTGTTTGAAAAACCAATAAATATATTACCCTCCCCAAAAAGTTCTGTGTTTTAATCAAATCCTACCGTTCTGTGTTTGTCTAAGTAGTCCTTAGTGGTGCCAATAGCTGCCAGTTGGTTTGAATCTTTGTACACGTGCAGTTTTCCAAAAATGTAAACATGTTCAGCGGGCATTCACAGCTGTTTGGCATGAACCAAACAGGCTGAGTTGTCTCAGACCCTTGTCTGTTAGAAATGAAGCCTGATGCTCACATATTTTTTCTTCATAGGTCAATAACAAAGCACAATTGCTAGTAGAAAATTCATTTTGGGTGAGTTACAGTCAAATGGAATGACTGTAACTCGCCCTAAATGAATTTTCTACTAGCAATTGTGCTTTGTTATTGACCTATGAAGAAAAAATATGTGAGCATCAGGCTTCAGTTCTACTCTTATAGATGAGACAAAACACTGGAAATTATCTAATCTTGTTCAGAAGAAGGAACGTCGAAACGACACAGGACATTCCGGAGCACGTCATTAACATCATTCGCTTCCTTAAAAACTACTTCTGTTTATTTGAAACTGACTGTATTTTTGTATTCCAACCTTGTAAAATAAGCATATCACTTTAACTAATTTAAACAGCATATATTTTCTGATTTTTGCAGTACTGTATTATTTAGTTTGGCGCACTTATCACAGTAATAATCCTTGTGTAGTGTAATATTCAGGGGTCTTGTTGTAGAAAAAGAGCTGCCGGAGCTCATTAGCATAACTCATTAGCGTAACTTATTTGCATATGCCACGCCCCCTGACATCACCGGAAGTGACAGAAGGCCACACCCCCTGACATCACCGGAAGTGTGTCAGAAGGCCCGGCTACTTACCCTCCTGCTTCATCCTCATTCCCAAACGGAATGAGGATCGAAGCAGAGGGCGGGGTAAAGAAGGGGGCGGGGCTTCACCACGTGACTGCACCGCCCCCTAGAGGTTCTCTTCCGGAGCTCCGTACCTGAGAGCTCCCCCCCGACTAGAGCCCTGGTAATATCCATATACTGTGTACCATACTCTGTTTCCTTGTCTGTTAGAGGCATTGGTTAAGCAAACGGCAGGCCTGACAGTTTGCTGTACTTTTCAGATTTGTAAACGTATAAACATTTTATTTTCTCAGCTATGTACTCAGTGTCTTGTCCTTGGGGAAGAGAGATACTTTGAATAAATGGACAGATGCCCAGAAAAATCTCTGAATAAGTTGATCTAATAGTTCACAGTTTTGATACATATATTTCTATGGGAAATTTCTTCTGAACGCAGAGAAGCACTTACCTCAGATCATCAGAAGTAACGAATTGTAAGGTTTTGATATGGTCATGTGGATTTCATGTCCTTGGGCCTGTATAAGATAGCCACACCTTGAACACCCCTGAATCTCTTAGATGCGGGTTGTGTGAGACACTGGGGAATTTCAGACAGGCGATAGATTCCGGAAGGGAACCGGTTCTCAAACGGGTTCTGGTCTGTCATTTCAGACAGAACCCGTTTGAGAACCGGTTCCCTTCTGGAATCTATTTGCCATTTCATCCAAGTGGTCTCGAGTGCCCTCTCCCGGTTCCGATACGCTTTTTTCCTGCCTTTTTTCACCCGCGCGGGCTATCTTCGGCTGTTTTTTTTTTAACGTTCGATTTATAGCATTATAGCGCTATAACGGTATAACGGAATAGCATTATATCTGAGAGTGCTTTGTATTGTATTTTATCTATTTAATCTTTACATAAGATAAGGGATAAGGAATGAGATATATGTATTTCTGTTTCATTTACATATGCAACTATATTTTGAATCATGGTGATTCTTTCATATTATTTCAAAAAACATTAGATCAGTTTTAGATAAAAAATCTTAAATAGATAAACATGAGTGATCTTTGGCTGGGACGCAAGGTGTTCACTTGACACTTAGAAATAAATGAATTTCTGAGTTCTCTTCAGCCTATATAGACTAGGTATTAAAGAAAATAGCCATCCCTCTGATTCAGTAGATAATGTTTTGCTTTGGAACAGGTGAAAAGACCCTTCTTTTCCGTGTGTTTTAAAAGGAATGCTTCCTTTGCAGGGTTTTCACCTGTCACAGAGTGATCAGCTCCAATCTGTATTCTTTATACAGTTCTTTATACTGTTTTATTGTTTTAACTTGGCATTTATGCCTCTTTGTAAGCCGAAATAAATATATAAATAAATCTGCTTGACACCTTTGAACACATGTGTGATGAAATTTGCATTATCGCTACCCCTAATGGAACATTCAAGAATAAGAACATAAGAGAAGCCATGTTGGATCAGGCCAGTGGCCCATCCAGTCCAACACTTTGTGTCACACGGTGGCCATAACCCAGGTGCTGTCAGGTGGTCCACCAGTGGGGCCAGAACTCCTGAAGCCCCCCCACTGTGCCCCCCCAAGCACCAAAATGATTTGGCGGTGGCCACTTGATGTTTCCTCTCTTGGTCGCCAGGAACCTAAGAGTATCCCTGCTGGATCAGACCATCCTGATTCCCCACTGCCCACAAGGTGCACCCAAGCAGAGCACAGTCACCAAAGCTTCCCCCTGTTGTTGCCCTCCAGCAACTGCCCTTGGATATGGAGGTTCCATTTAACCATTATGACTAAAAGCCATTGATGGAACTATCCTCCATGTCTAATCCCCTTTTAAACCCACCAAAGCTAGTGGCCATCACACCGCATCTGGTGATGATGAATTCTGTAAAAATTCACATGACAGCCAGTGCGCTTCTGGAGCTAGCAGTGCAGATCCAGGGCAGATCCTGATGGGAGCTGGATCTGAAGACTTGGGCTCAAGTTCTACTTCTACGCTTGGGCAAATTCCTATTTCACAAGGTCTTCAACTATAAAGTTGTAGTAGTGGTGTGTCCTACCTCACTGGGTTGTTGAGAGGGCAAATTAAACTCCTTGAGAAACAATTAGTGGTAGAACTTCCAGATTCAAGTGGCAAGCACAAGGCTTGAGTGAGGTCAAAGCTAAGAGAGTTCAATGGCCCGGATTAATCAATAGCTCCACTGTGTTCCAAGGAAACAGGAGTAACAGTTGGCTTCTTCTCTTGGAACAGTGAGTGTTAAGGGGTGTCAGAACTAGCGGGCAAGACACAGGAATGTGATGAATTGCTGGCCATTTGCTTTGATTCTTAACGTGTTTTCCTCATGTTTGTTCCAAGAGTCTACTTATCGCCATCAAGCCACCATAGACGACGAAGTCGTTTCCATGGAAATACTAGACACAGCTGGCCAAGTGAGTATGCATTCTTCTCATCCTTGCAAACAAAGATTTGGCATCAGCCAAATGTAATTAACACCATGGGAGAGTCACCAGGTATTTTATATGTGTGAGACTACACACTGGAATGTATCCAGCCATGTGGTTTGTCTGATGGAATGCTGTTTGTTTACAGAAGCGGGGGGGGGCAATTCCTGCCGATTCCTGACTCCCACTGTAGACCCCCACTTTGTCGCCTGTGTTGTTGCAGAAGGGTGGTCTGCTGACACCCACAAGAACAAAATTGTGTGGGTATCAGTGGAATGCAGCAGCAGGGGGGAGTGGGAAACTCCTACTTTGTGAAGACCAGAGATGATTGGTTATATATATGGCAGCATCTTTTGAGGGGCAAAGAGGAGTGGTCACAGGCCAGTAAGGCCCATGGGAGAAAAGACATCAGTAGATCGTTTTTCCTTACTTACAGTTTCCCCAGGAGCAGGAACACAGCCTGGTCTCTCTTGAGCCCAGGAAAGTCCAGCAGAAGGGCTACCCGAGAGAGGTCCAGCTGTCCTTGACGAGGGCCAGGGCCTTTTCAGTCCTGGCCCCCTGCCTGGTGGAATTCTCTGCCAGAGGATATCCATGCCCTATAGGATCTGTTACCTTTCCATAGGGCCTGCAAGGCAGAGATGTTCCACCAGGCATTCAATTGAGGACAGCGACGGTTGGCATTCTCATACCCCCCCCCCAATCCCCCATCTGCACCCCCTTTACCCGGGGGCTGGTGGGAACAGAAATTTCTCGTCATAGACAATGTAATTTACAGCTTGATTAATATATTGTGTTTAGTAGTTTTTAATGTTATTTAATGGATTATTGTTGTGTTGGTTTTGATGTAAGCCACCCTGAGCCTTGCTTGCAGGGAAGGGTGGCCTAACAAGTTGAATTTAATTAATTAATTAATTAATTAATACCCCAGGATGCTTCCTCTCAAGCAATGAGTCTCCTGGGAAGCCAACATGTAAGGAAGTTCCAGAAAGGTAGCCCATGTGAGATTGTTGAGGTCTCGACAAAGATTAACACATTTATGATAGCATACACCATCAGAGACAGACGCTGAATCGTCAGGAAAAAAAATGGTCTTCAGGGGGCCCAAATAGACATGATAAAGATCGCAGATCTCTGTCAGTTCTGCGAAAAATAAATTCCACATGCAGCTGTGACTCAGACTGAGGCTGTGTGGAAAGGGAAGCGGGGGTGGAACCTTTCAGCTTCTCCTTCAGTTACCCCATTCATAATCTGTCTCTCCCCACATTTTTATTAATGTTTTAAAGGAAAAGATCTTTTACATACTGAAGAAGATCTTTGTTACAGTTCTTTGGCTCCTAATTTGGTTATGTCTACCTGCTCTATTACACAATAGCCACCAGGGATCTCTAAGATTAATCCCTCACCAACCTGAGATTAGAGATCCCCAGAATCTCAGTTGGCATGTGAGTTTTACACATTAGCAACAATAGCTCAGAGATGAACTTAATCTTACACAGGTAGCACAATTGGTCAGTGGTTTAGGCTACAGGATTTAGCTTGAAGCCCAGTTACCACAGTCCAGACACTATTTATAAACCAAGATAAGTTTATTCAGTACAGACTTAGCACAGACTAAAAAGGATTACAAAATAACAAAATTTATGGCTCTTGGCCCTAACTAAACATTAGAGATATGCATAATTACCAACTTCAGGAATCCATAGTCCAAGATTGTCCATTGTGATAAAGTCCATTAGGTCCCATCTTTGTACAAGATTCCAGCCATGTGCTCAGCTCCAAAGCAATCCTTTGTCTCTGCTAGAAGCCACATGGTAGCATGGCATCTCAGATGGACAGACACAACAGTAGAGATCACAGGAACAGAAGAGAGAGTTCCTCTCATTGGGAATGAACAGATATAGGGCAATTCCAGTTGTCCAATTAGCCCTGGCCAGGGGCCAATTGGAGTAGACCTGGGAGTGCCCAATTGTAGGGTTGCCATGGGTACAATTTCTGAATGGTCAGTTGTCTTGAAGGCCACACCTGCAGTTATGTGATCTCCCAAACTCTAACCACTCCTCTATACTTTACGTGACTCCTGACATGTAGGCACAGCCAGGCGCCATCAGGTCTAGCTCTTCCACCTAGAAGTGTGAAGAATGTGTGGTTATATGGCATGGCAATTGCCTCTCTGACCAAATGGTCAGCCATCTGGCTGGCAACAGGAAAGCAAGCCAGCAGGGTCTCAGCAAGAGACATTCCAGGGGAGACATGAAACCTATAGAAATCAATATTTCTATACAACTGATCACTCATTTTGGCTTTGGAGCTATACCAAAAAGGGAGGGATCCATCGCACAACAGCACAGCATTGTCAGAGTGCTTTAAACAGTCCCCATGGAGAAATGCATTTCTCTTTGGAGGTTCGCACTGAATGAAACTTTCACCTTGAATTTTAAAAAGGTTTTCTGTCTCTTGGCAGAATATGGGCAGGAGGTGGGGGGAGGTCAGTTGTTCAGCAGCCTCAGCCAACAAGGCTTTAGACCTGCAAATGGCTGGCCTGGCTGGATATAATGAAATGGTTAAGTTACACAGACACACACACACACCTTCTCCCAGAAAGGTGACATCTAGCAGGGAACAGAGTTTTGGAGGTTGAATACCCTAGAGAAGTCTTTCCCTGGAGACTTCAGGAAAAGCTTCTTTGACTTGACTTGACCTGACCTGTCCAGTGGGTGGGGAAACTCTTTGGCACAAGGAGGGGGGGGTCTCTTTTGTGCTGATTCCATAGAGTCAGATGGAGCTCCCACACAGGGCCCGCTGAAGATGGCCATTGCCATGTGCAGAACTGCAGGCTTGAGCAGTGGCTCCAAGGTAATGGGAACCCCTTTAGAACCACTGTAACTTCTAAGTTAAAGAGCCTGCCTTAGGTTAACATCCACTTGGGCATATACAGAGGGAGGGACAGAGGGATTCCATTTTATCATTTTCTTTTGGATACCTTGCTCAATCCGGCACTGTGCTGGGAATATGCATGTATTGTGGACATTGTCTTTTGAATAAACAATTTATAACTTTTAATGCTGGTGGAGGATCTCTGTACCACATGGACCTCCACTGTTTTGGACACACTATTTTAAAAGGAGCTGCCAGGAGAAGGGGGGAGGCAGTTTATTGGCAAGTGGCTATTCCCACAGGGGTGCACAAGTGGAATAAGCTGTCTCCGTGATAACCAGACGCTGGGTAATGGGAGACTCAGGCATGAGGTGAGAGACCTTAGAATGGTAATACAGGGAAGGGAAGCGGGGAGCCCTGGTCCTCTTATCGGGCAGTTCCTACGAAGGCCAGGTAGTGGCAGTAGGTGAGCACACAGAGAAAGGCCCTCCAGGTGTTGAGAAAGCCATGTGGGTGGCACATGCCAGAATTTGGATGGCTGCTGTTATCAAGGCACGTCATCAGGGCAGGACGGAGCAGGGCCTGCTGGTCAGAGTAGGCCTGTTCTGCCACTCCCCCAAATGTTCTCCCCCAAATGAAAAAGGTTTAGCAGTTTAGAAATATTTTCTTGTTTATCAGTTGTAGAATCTCTTTGTTCACAGTGGAAAATACCAGGAAGCAGTTGACATTTTGGTTACAAAAGAATGCAAAAAAATACTGTTTTCTGCTGCTTTGTTTTATAAGTACTTTGGCCCCTGAGAGCTTCCTCCCACTTTTATGGGTCACATTTATTATCCAAAGTATGACACTACTAAATCAGAATAAAGGCCAAAACAAACCTTTAACTTCTTTTTTAAATTCTTTTTAAAGGTTGTTATTGAAAATTTATCAGATACAAAGAGAAACAAGTGACAATAAACTGTCAAGTGCCAAATACAGATGATCGCATTACAAAGTTCCAATAAAAAGAATATGTACTTTAAGAGACAATAGGTCTCAATGCCACAAAAAATTAAGCTACAGAAGAAAGATGGTGTCAAAGGGTCATGGCAAATAATCAAGTATCAGTTAATTAACATAGTAAAACATCTGTAACACAATTCTGATGAAAACGGTCTTGAGCAATAAAATTTAAAACAGGGTACCAGAAATTATAATAAGAGAGGCAGAGTAAGGGTCTTTATTCGAGGTTTGTGTCAGTATCCTTTCCACTGTGAGATCGATGATCCCATATGTTCCTGTACCAAATCTTAAGAATTGGGGGCGAGGGAGATTTCCTGGAGGAGGTAATTGCAGACTTCACAGAGGCACATAATATAGAAATAAAATCTTAATTTGGGGGATTTGGGGATCATCCCACAAGTTTAGCCACAGTCAATCAGGCCGTAACGGAACAGAGAGACCTGCGATGATAGAAATTTGATCTCCAATTGATGACCAAAAATTTTGGATGAGAGGGCAGGACCACCAACAGTGGAACTTCCCCCCCCCCCGGTCCTTTCACCACAAACACGCTGCTGTCATTTCTCTTCCCCAACAGGAAGATGCTATTCAGAGAGAGGGACACATACGATGGGGCGAAGGCTTCGTGCTGGTTTATGACATCACCGACCGGGGGAGCTTCGAAGAAGTCCTTCCCCTTAAGAACTTGCTGGATGACGTGAAAAAACCCAAGAATGTCACTTTGATCCTAGTCGGGAACAAGGCGGACCTGGATCACTCCAGGCAGGTCAGCACAGAAGAAGGGGAAAAGCTGGCCACCGAACTCGCTTGCGCCTTTTACGAATGCTCCGCTTGCACGGGGGAAGGCAACATCATGGAGGCCTTCTACGAGCTTTGCCGGGAAGTGCGGCGTCGGAAGATGGTCCAGGGCAAGACCCGGAGACGGAGTTCCACCACTCACGTCAAGCAAGCGATTAACAAGATGCTCACCAAAATCAGCAGTTAAACGTGTGTTTTTTAAAAACAAAGATTATTGTAAAGCAGGTTAATCTTGGGCAGAGAGAGATTGCAAGGCTAGACGGTAATCAGTCGACAAGATAGTTAAAAAGCTTTGTTTAACTATCCCATTTTCTTCCTCCACAGGTTGAGAGAAGTGAAGCAAGTAGGTTGGTATGGGCGCATGTGTTCATTCTCCAACCTACCCTGTGGATTGTATCTTTTTAAAAGCAATTCACAGCTGGGTTGCCAACGCTTTGGGAAATTCCTGGATATTTGGGTGTAGAGCCTGGGGAGGGGAGGGTTTGGGGATGGGTGAGACCTCAGCGGGGTTTGATGCTGTAGAGTCCACCCTCCAAGATAGCCATTTTCTCGAGCGGAACTGATCTCTGTCATCTGGAAAGCAGTTGTAATTCTGGGATTTCTCCAGGCCCCACCTGGACGTTGGCAACCCATATTCACAGGGTAGATTAGTGGATGGGAATGCATCAGTCAGGATGGAACTTCATCTCCATCCCAACATGTCTACTGCTGTGTGTCGATTTATCAGCAGCTACTAGATAAATGAGTGGTTCCTCACTAGGTGAAAACGGAGGACCCTTTGCTCCTGGTCAGCTTACTATAGTGTACATGTGGTCACTAGACCACTTGTTTGTAAACTCTGGTTGAAAGGTAAGAAGGCCTTTTATCAGATATTCATAACCAATCAGGAATCCAAGAGCAAAAAGGGAATGATTAAATTCTCCTCCATGCAGCCAATTGGCTTCATGCTCAGAATGGTAAATTACCACTTGATAAACAGTCATCCGTGGCCTGGTCTACGCATGCAGCAGGTGGTGGAGTTCTGAGGCGGTAGAACAATCTGCACCACTTCAAACAGGGGGGAGTCAAGGGAGGGGTCACGTGATCACTGTTCCTCCCCCTGTAAGAATTCCCTGCAGATTAAGAATTAGTTAGGGGGGAAAGTGCTCTGTCATTTGCATTCTGAGCAAGAGTTTTTCCCCCCACACAGAGTTCTTGCTCCACCCCCTCCCCCACAAAAACACAGCAGATGTTATTTTGATTCCACCCATCTTCATTCTGACAACCTTCCAGGTTTACCCCTAGATCTGCTGCAGGTTTCCCCAAACCTGCTTTGGTTCACTGTTTCCTGAAAGATCAAAGAGAAACTGTTTCTTCAAGAGAAGAACCGAAGAGAAGCCAATGTTGGATCAGGCCAGTGGCCCATCCAGTCCCAACACTCTGTTGTCACACAGTGGCCAAAACCCAGGTGCCATCAGGAGGTCCACCAGTGGGGCCAGAACTCCTGAAGCCCTCCCGCTGCTGCCCCCCCCCAAGCACCAAGAATACACAGTATCACTGCCCCAGACAGAGTGCTCCATCTATACCTTGTGGCTAATAGCCACTGGTGGACCTCTGCTCTGTATGTTTATCCAGTACCAAATACCGGTTTGGGGAAACCGTGAGTGGGAAGCTGTGGATTTTTGTACACACACACCCTGCCTACATCCAGTACCACATCCAGCACCATTTCTTCTCGCACCTGCCATTTCTTCGCCATCATCACTAGCGGGCTTGTTGCCTTTAAAAAAGTTCTTGGTAGTAGATGTAGTGATATAGTGTTAAAACACTATTGTGATATACCTGCTATCGAGAGCCGGTATGGTGCAATTGTTAGAGTGTCGGACTAGGATCTGGGAGTGCCAGGTTCGAATCCCCACTCTGCCATGGAAGCTCGCTGGGTGACCTTGGGCTACTCACATGTGCTCTGCCTAACCTACCTCACAGGGTTGTTGTGATATAAAATGGAGCAGAGGAGAGCAATGTGAGCCACTGAAGTAAAAAAAAATGGCAGGTGGGTGGGGGAATGGCGAGCCGAAGGCAAAAGAACAGGCAAATAACAACAAATCACGGTGGAAATGATAAAACGAGAAGCTCTCCATGCAGAAGCCAACCTTGGTTTTTCATTTACAGGAAATTAGTAAGGTATGGGAACTTTGAAAAATGTCATCCCCCCACTGCAGCCTGAAGTGGTACAGATGGTTTCAGAACCTCCTTCCACTGCGTATGTAGACCAGGCCTGTATTTACTTGTAGACAATCTTCAAGCTGCTGTCCTAAGCAGGAAAGCAGTCCGTGCCCAAACAGCAGTCCGTGGATGGCAGGGCTTTGTACCTTTCACAAGTTCACACTGCAACCTTAATGCATGGCTAATTTGAAAACACACCCTGATAGGTTTTCCTTGTGTCACTTTCCCTGGGCCATTTCAGTGCCTACATTTTAGTAGGATATCAGAAGATAACAAACATCACCAAACTGTAGGGATTTCCCACCCACCCCCAGCCAGTTGGGAGAAGCACCAGATTTGGCTGCATATCCACACTTTCGGAAGCATTGCAAACCTTGGAGGATATGGTGTTCTTAGTGTTCATGAATGTTAGGTTTTGTTCTTCTGCCCCTGACTGGTGCATCCCATTTCTTGTTCAAACTGGGAACAAAACATCTCCATTTGTTTTCATCACAGGCTGAATTTTCCTTCAATGTGGAGCTAAATATTAGAGGTGATTTCAGCATGGGTGGCTTTTCGGTGCATGGTTTGGAAATACAGTCGATAAAAACACAGTATCTTCTGAAGCACCAGATTTGGCTGCATATCCACACTTTCGGAAGCATTGCATACCTTGGAGGAAATGGTGTTCTTAGCCTTCATGAACGTTAGGTTTTGTTCTTCTGCCCCTGACGGGTGCATCCCATTTCTCGTTCAAACTGGGAACAAAACATCTCCATTTGTTTTCATCACAGGCTGAGTTTTCCTTCAATGTGGCGCTAAATATTAGAGATGATTTCAGCATGGGTGGCTTTTCGGTGCGTGGTTTGGAAATGCAGTTGATAAAAACACAGTATCCTCTTTATAGGGTTGCCAGATCCTGGCTGGGAAATACCTGGAGATTTTGGGGCTGGAGCCTGAGGAGGGCGGGGCTTTGGGGAGGGGAGGGACTTGTGGGGTATTATGCCTTCCAAAGCGGCCATTTTCTCGAGGGGAACTGACCTCTGTGGCCTGGAGATCCATTGGAAGAGCAGGAGATCTCCAGCCACCACCTGGAGAATGGTAACCCTACTGCTTTATGACATAAGAAGTCCCTGGTCCTTTGGGAGGCGAGCAGAAGTTATGGGGAGCTGGTTTTTGAGCACGAGTAATTGCCATCCCCAGTTTTTTTAAAAAACCCTTCAATTAGTAGCAGATTTGAACAGCTTTAAACTATCGCAACAACCCTCTCTGCTGTGGGTGATTAACTGAGGTTCAGTTCATATGTTAACGCAATGATGGCGGAGTGACTTCTATGTGGTCCCCCCCACATAGTCCCCGGGTAATGTCTGCATAAAGAGGGGAGCCAGCTATGGAGCCTGGGGGAGGCAGGGTTTGGGGAGGAGAAGGAACCCAGCAGGTGGTGGACCTCCTGAGGGCACCTGTGTTTCAGCCACTGTGTGACACAGAGTTTTGGGGGGCTGGATGGGCCCTTGGCCTGATCCAACACTGGCTTCTCTCTTATGTTCTCATAATGCCGTAGAGTCCACACACACACACCCCAAAGCAGCCATTTTCTCCAGGGGATTGATCTCTGTCATCTGGAGACCCACTGTAATAGCAGGATGATCTCCAGGTGCCGCATGGAGGTTGGCAACCCTAAAGAGGAACCACACAGAGAGAGCCACTAGGGTCATGGATGAGCTGGTTCTAGATTTCAAAAGCCACTCGAAAGTTTCAGATGGAAAGAAATTACCATATTTGGGGGGGGGGATAGGGGCATGAGCCACCTGCCTGTACAAGGGGATGCAGACATGAGCCACATCTTTCATGCACGTATACACATAGCGGGAAACCCGTGTGCGCTGTCCTTGCACTAATTGAGTGCATCTGTGTATCGCGCTGTATTGTACACACAGATGTGCTTCTCCTGCAGGGAGGAACATCCTGGGTCTGAGGAACAGCTGTAAAAGCCATTTGGACAGGTGGCCACATTCCAGCCGCATGGATGCACATGAGGAGAATCCGTCCCAAACGATAGAAGAATCCAAGCCCTTGAAACAGGATGTTGTTAGTTCAAGGGTCATGATCTTAAATTGTGGTGTACCACGGAGTGGCGAACACCCTCTGCGGCAGCAACAATTTCTATTCAGAACCCTGCTAAGGGGGGGGGGGGACCAGGGGAGGGGAAATATTTTTGATAGGCCAGTGATGGAGCCCATGCTTTGGGGGCACAACATGTGCAGGCCATAGGGTTGCCAGTCTCCAGGTGGTGGCTGGAGATCTCCCGGAGTTACAACTGGTCTCCGGGTGACAGAGATCAGTTCCCGTGGAGAAAATGGCTGCTTTGGAGGGTGGGCTCTCTGGTATTAAACCCCACTGAGGTCCCCCCCCTCCCCAAACCCTGCCCTTCCAGGACTCCATGCCCCCAAATCTCCAGATGTTTCCCAGCCCACAGCTGGCAACCCTGTAGGGCTGTCCCTGGGATCTCCATTTTAGAAAGTTCTCAGCCAAGCCAAAGAAAGCTGTGGCCTTGTGGCGAGACTCAAATGGAGAATGGGAGAATGTGGTCCCCCCACTGGGAAGGACCCTCGGTCCCCCATCGGGGGGGAAAGTGGGGTATCAATGAATTCAACGACTGAATTGTCAACACCTCCAATTAATTAGAACAGGGAATTCAGGCCGGTCCGTTAGGACCCAGTTGTCCTGTGTTTTTGTGTTTCGATTCCAGCTGAGCGGTTTTCCCGTTTGTCTTTCCTCAGAGCAGAAGGCGAAAGGGAAAGAATGAGAAATCTACACCCAGCCTGGAATCACAAGCTCTGCTGAGCGTGTGATGTGGCCGCCAGTTATAATGCAGGGCTGCTTTGCCAGGCTCCGGCTCAGATCTTCGTCCCCAGCAATTTTAGCCCGTCCACAGGCCTGTCCCTGCTGTCCTCCCCCCCACCCCACCCAGGATGCTGTGCCTCCAGAGGTTTTGCCTCTGTG